CCCAGGTACAACGAGGATGAGAAGAAGTGGGAGGGCGTCCTGCGGGAGATTGCCTACGCCACAGGTGCCACCTTCCTACCTGTGCGGCTCAACGTGCTGCGCCTGACCAAGCTGTGACCCGCCCAGAGGGCCTGGCTGCGCTTCCCCGCCCCACGCTGCGGCCCTCCCAGGCCTGGCCTCCTGGGGGAGGATCGGGGAGGAGTCTGGGAGAGGCAGGGCCCACCTGGATCCCATCCCATCACGGTGCCTGAGGGGCTGCTTCAGCTGCCCAGTGCTAGCCTTTCAGGCAGGGATGAGAAACTTCCAGCCTCTCTGGTATATCCATTTCCCCCTGGTGTTCTTGGTCCATGAAGCACAACCTCATGGGTATGTCCCTGGTACCCAGCCCAGCCTGGCTGTGCGTGCCAGTCACTCTCCCACAGGACTCAGTCTCCCCGGCTGTCGGATGGGGAGTGTTCCATCAAGTGTACCTTGCAGCCTGGGTAAGTCTCCTCCTGTAAGAAGAATAAAGTGCCTTCCAAGCAGAGTGCTCAGGGTCTGGAATCAGGTGCTCCAAGTGTCAGTGACCAGGTGGTTTGAAGATCTGGGGCTTCTGCATTCAACTGTTGGGTCACCAAGGTCAGTGGTCTCTGCCCTCCACGTGTGTCTCCTCCACACTGTGTGCACCAAGAGCTTGACCTCCCCACCTCCTCCAGCACCTCATCCAGCAGGGACAGGGAGCCAGGAGATGGCTGGGGGAAGGGGCAGGGAACAGCCAAACCACAGTAGAAAAGTCTTTTATTCTATTGGTCAGGCTTCCTCTGGCCTGGCCTGGACCTGGGCCCAGAATAGCTGAGCAGAGCCTGTCCCTCTTCCCTTTCCACCTACTCCAGCTTCTCTTTGTCCTGCTTCTGGTCCTCCTCCAGCGCCAGGGTTCGCTCTCGCTCCTTCACCAGCTGGACACCACAGTAGGTGACAAACAGGACAGCCAGTGTGGTCCGGGGGAACCCTGTGAGAGGAACAGGTCATGGATGCCTGGGAGCACCCCACCCCTCTCCCCACCGACTCGTCTCTTCCCACTTGACTGGCCCTCCCTGACAAGTCCCTGGGGCGCTGGGGGTGGCGTGGCAGCATCTCAGAAGGTCACAGTCCTCGAGGTTGATGCCTGGCACATTCTGTATCCCCACACCCCTGTCCCTCACCTTTGAGTAGCAGGCGCTGGGCGACCATCTCTGTGAACTCAAGGCTGTTCAGGCTTACAAGGTTGTACATGACGATGGCCCAGAAGTTCATAGCCCCAAAGATGGCTCGGACCCTGCGGGACATCTGCTCCGACAGGGAGGCCTGCTCAGTCCAGGAAGGCATTGGCAGTGAGGCCAAAGGCCCAGGGAAAGAGGACACGGTGGGCCAGGGGCCTTGCCCACATGGCCACCCAGGTCCTGGGGCTGTGCCTGTGTCTCTCAGAGTCCCAGGTCAGCTCTCCCTCGTTGTTAAAGATGAGAAAACTGAAGTCTAGAGAGGGCAGGGCCTGACCAACACAGCCAAGCCCAGGTGCCCCCCACCCTGCAGAACGTAGGGAGGGCCAGGCACCCACAGGGGGAGCCACTCCTCTGACAACCAGGAGGTGGTGGTGGGAAAGTTCTGGACTGGGAGCCAAGTGTGACTGGAAGACTCTAGAGAGCAGCAGTACCACCCCTTCCAGCGCATCCGCCGTCCCCAGCCCCAGCCCTTCCCTGCTCACCTCGATTTGGGCTAGGGGCCCCCACTCTGCCAGCTTCTGTACCCAGAGCTCAAAGTTGAGGCCAAAGCAGTTAAGGCATGACCACAGGTAGACAATATCACAGGGCCCGAGCCACAGGGTGGTGATGGCAAACGTGGCCACGGTGGCCCCCAGCTCCGGGATCACCGCAGAGTGCTCCCCGCCAATGTGGTCATACACGTACCTGCAGGAAAGGGGGGAAAAGGATACACAAAGGGGCTGCTTCCTTACCGCTGTCATCCTGGGCACATTCAACATTCCGGGCCTCCGGTGGCTGTTCCTCCTCTACTCAACTTCAAAATGCAGAGAGCTCAGCCTTGAACTGCCTGTCTCCTCTAGCTCTCTTCATTCTCAGGTGATCTCATCCAGACCGAAGACTCTGAAACTCTATGCTGATAGCCCCAAATCTGTCTCTTTAGCCCAGTCTCTCTCCTGATACATATGTTCCTCTGTTGCCAGACACCTCATGTGAATGACTGACACCCTCATCCCTGTCCAAACCCGCTTCATTCCCCTCTCAGCTGATGACACCTCCATGCTTTCAGTGGCTGGCCAGAAGACTTGGTACCATCTTGGATTCTCAATTCCCCTCTCACTCACATTCAATCCAGCAAATTCCACTTGATCCTGAGAACTGCTCACCAGCTCCACTGACACCACCCTAGTCCATCTCCTCTCACACAGATTATTGTAAGAGCCTCTTAAATCGTCTCCCTGCTTCTGCCTTGGCCCCTCCCATCCATCCTGAACACAGCAGCAATATAGGCCTCTTTTAAGGGTGTAACCAGGATCACCTCATTTCTACATCAAACCCTCCCATACTAGCTCCTCATTTCAAGTAGAATAACTCAACCACCTGACAGTGGCTAGAAGCTGTCACCATAGTCTGATTTCTGCCTCCCTCCGGACCTCTGCATCCACCATCCTCCTCTCCTTCACTGTGCTCTCCCCTTACTGGCCTTTCTGTCCCTCAGACACACACAGCTGGTTCCTGTCTTGAGACCTTTGTACCTTTTGTCCCCTCTGTCTGGAATTCTCCAAATTTCCTTATCACTCAAGTCTCAGTTCAAATATCATCTGACAGAGGCCTGCCCAGACCGTAGCTGAAGAAGCTTCTATCCTGTTACGCTCTATTATTTATTTATGTATTTATTTTCTTCATAATGCTTACCACTCCTTAAAATTCTTTACATGTGTGTGTTTTACCTGTTTATGGTCTGTTTCTCCCCAATAGACTGTAAGCTCCATGAGTTCAGGGTCTTTGCCATGTTCACTGCTGTATCCCCAGTGCCTAGAACAGTGCCTATACTGGCACATAGTAGGTGCTCAATAAAATGTGCTAAATTAATTCAGTAGAAGACCCACTGCGTGACTGGCCTCTCCATTCCTTGACCTCATTTACGGTGGTTTCTTGAACACTCCCCCTCAGCAACCCTCTCCCATGGCCACACCCAAACTCTGTCATCACTTGTTTCCCTCCTTCCTAATCCCCATCCTTCACCCAGCTCCTCCTGACCTGGCCCCCCAAGTTCCACTTCTTCAGTATCATTGACCGCCCCCCCCCAGCCTTCCTTATCTTGCGACACCCTCCTCAGCCTTCTTAACAGGCTTCTATTCAATGAGTCATCATTATCAATAACCTTAAGACCCTTCTCCGTCACTTCTTCCTCCTCACCCATCTGGGAGAGCCCAGTTACCCACTATGCCCTCACCTGCACCCAAGATGCTAAGCCATGATGGGGAAAAGCTCACACCTTCACATATTAGAATCCATAAATCCACCACCGCCCACTCAACCTGGGCTGTCAATGCCAAGGTTTCTCTAGACAGCTGCTTCTCCCAGGCTCTGCAGTGCCTACTCCACCCTCACCTCTCCTGCAAGTATGAGTGGGTGTGGTGGGAGACCTCGGAGGAGGAGGGGGGCAAACAGATGCATCAGCCCCTGCATCGCTCAGCTGATGACCTTGCCTCCTACTTCATGGAGAAAACCGAAGCCTTCGGGAGGAATCACTCACCTGCCACTCTTCTGCAACCACACTGGCTTTTCTTCCTCCTCCCTGTCCCAAAGCCAGGCCTCTGCCTGGTACTGGTTCCATCGCCTCCTCTCTCCTCAGGGACCTCACTCCATCAGTCACCCTCCTATCCTGCATGGCCAACTTCTTCTCTACTGAATAATTCCCCTTGGCATCCAAGCATGTCCCATTATTTCTGGTCTTTGAAACACACACTTCTCCCTTCAGCCACTCCTGTGTAGTCCCCTTCAGTACCAGGCTTCTTCCAGGAGCTGTCCACACAGGAACTCCCCTGTGATTCCTCGATTTCCTCCTCCGCCCCGCCTGCCCCTTCCCCTCCAGGGAAAGGCTGGAAACCTCCATGCCACCAACACTCAAGCTCAGTCTCCAGCTTCCTTGACCCCAGCAGCATCTGACCCGGTTGCCCCCACCATGCCAGCATGGGACTCCCTTAGCTTCCAAGGTGTCCATGTCCGGACTTTTCTCCTGCTCCTTTGACCGTTTCTTTCGGGCCCTTCTGCTGGCTCCTTCTTCTCCCCTCAACCAGAGTCCTTCCAGGCCCACAACTTTCTGGGAATCATCACTTTCTCCTTCCTCACGCACCCAATCCATGGCCAGGTCCAATCCAGGCTGCCTGCTCTGTGTGTCCACTCCAACCATTTCTCTCACCTCCAGGGCCCCCACCGAAGTCCAAACCTCCATCTTTCACCTAGACCTCTGCGATGACCTCCTTGGTCCCTTCTTGCTTCCTTTGGCCCAGGGGTGACCTTTGAAAACTTGAACCGTTCTGGACACTGCCCTGCTCAGACACCTGGAGGATGGCTGGGACATACCCCCGCCCCACCCTCAACTCACTTGCAAAGCCAGTCGTTGATGCCACGGTCAAAATGTCTGTGGGAAGAGAGCAGACGGGTGTGAATGGCCAGGAGCAGGGCTTCGGCGTCTCGGGGAGAGGCCAAGGGAAGGTGGGGATTCCCGGGGCCCGTCCCCGGACCTTAACACTCGCACTCACGTCTCAGCGAAGACGTAGAGCGCTGTGATGCACTTGGGAGGCCGGGGCGGGTCCAAGTGGTCGAGGCGTGCCACGGTGTTGACGACGCCGAAGAGGACGGCCGCCTTCACCCAGTCATACACCAGGTTTGAGTAGGCTAGGCCAGCTGGGGTAGGGGATCGTCACTGCCTGGGGGGCATCACTCTGGCCTCCCTTCCCCAGACCCCCCAAACACCCCGGAAGCGCTGAACACGGCCCTCCGCTAAGCACACTCCTTGCGTCAGGGCCACGTCACGCAGGCTCCGCCCACCCACTTCCGCGGGGCGGGGCTGGGCTCTGGAGGCCCGGGGAGACCCCGTCCCGCTGTGGTAATCTGCCCCAGGTCCTAGTGAGGTGAGTACACCTCCGGCCTCACAGGGCAAACCTACCTCCAAATCCTACGCATTTCAAGGAATAAGTCCCCGCTCCACCCACCCTTGGAGGAGTGGCCCCCGTCCCTGTTCTGGGCCCAGCGTGCACCCACCGAGGGCGCTGTCCGGGAGGCGGTGGGCGTACTTGAGGTCACTGGGGATAGTGAGGATGTAGAAGAAGTGGAAGAAGATGTCCACGGCCACAATGGCCACCATGCTGAGGCCCGCCTGGGCCCGGATGCGCCATAGCTCACCCTCGGGTCTCACCGGCTCCACCTGGCTCACCTGGGGGATTCCAAGTGTCTGAGAGGGGAGGCAAACCCTGCGGGAGGGGCCCTGTCTGAGGGCAGAGTCGCCAACTAACTGCCTGGGGACAAAGGATGAGGGGAGACGCTTTTCATCCTGGCTGCCCTGAAGTTGGAGACACAAGCCACTCCGGTGTCTCAGGAGGGTTCACTACCTGCTAGGGGAGACCTAGTTCCGTGTTGGGAGCCTACGGGGTGTCCCCTCACCTGGGCGTGGAAGCGATCAAAGGTCATGATGGGCCCGAAGAAGAAGAAAGGCAGGTAGAAATTGTACTTGAGCAGGTCAGCTAGGGAGTAGCGGCGCTCTGGGTGTGCACAGCTCTCCAGTGCAAAGCTGATGCAGCGTAGCACCGTGAAACCGCTGCCCCCGTGAAACAGCACCTCTTGAAGATCAAAAGTCCCTGTTACAAACCCGCTCTGGATGGGAGAAAACAGGCCACCAGCTCACCAGGGTGCCCTTCATCTCTGGGAAGCACACCCAGCTTCCCTCAGGGTCCCAGCCTGGTCCTGCCATCTTCCTCTGCCAGTGCCGGTCAACGCTGGCCACCAAGGGCTAATTTCATGTCAAGTGCTGGGCAAGAGCAGGAGACGAGCTGGACCTGTCCCTACTGTGGTGGAGGTGACCACCTTGTGGGCAGGGCATGCTCCGCAAAGACTTGAAGATAGGTGGGAAAGCGAAGGAAATGCTTGGGGAGGCTTGAGAGGCAAGGGTTTTAGATGGGGTAAGAGGTTTGAGGTCCTGTCCCTGTACCCTCCACCCCTGCCCCTCCCCAGTGCACACCTGCCAGGAGATTAGGGGGTCCAGTTTGAAGGAGGCGAGGCTGGCCAGGCCAAGGCTGAGACAGAGCCAGGGCTGGCCTGACAGTGAGACTACATAGAGGCTCACACAGTGGCCAAGTAGCAGCAGCAGGTACCAAGGGCCCATCGTGCCCACCACGGCCAGGACCCCATACACAGCATACATCCAGGAGCGGAGCTGTAGACAGGGAGAAGGCTTCATTTACCTCTCCATAGAAACAGAGGTGGGACCCCAGGATGGCTTCCCCACAACCCTTATAGTTGAGAGGGAGTTGGAAGGGGAGGCTAGGGTGGCTCAGGTCCAACTCACCTGGGGGGCAACCATGGTACAGAGTTTAGCAAACAGCACATGTCCAGAGAGGGCGAAGACAATGACGTTGCGGAAAGAGGTGAACCACATCACCCACTCGAAGTCGGCCACGTCCTGGGGCAGGCCAGGCAGGTTAAGGTGGGGTGGGGGCAGGATGGGCTGGCACTTGGGTTGGTTGGAGTCCCAGCACCTTCGCTGCCCCCATATTCTTCTTATGCGTTAAAGGAGAGCAATGGCTGAGGTCCCTCCTCCCGAGGTGGGGAGGTGGAGAGGAATGAGGGGCACCGTGTGGGCTGCCATGCCCCTCAAAGCTCTCCCTCTGCCCATTGTGTTGCCTGACATTCCACAGTTATTGCGTTGTTCCTGGGGAGTGTGGCGCTGGAGGCCCTGAGGAAGCACATCTGGATTTGTTTCCTAAATAAGCAAGGTCTGGGGCAGGCTTGATGTGGCCCCAGGAGGACAGAGGAGGGGCCAGTGAGAAACTGAAGCTGCTGAAGTTCAAGCCAGAGACCCTCCCCATGGCGAGCCCTCTGTAACATGGGACCATCTGGAATAGGGGGAAGTCGGGAAGGGTTTGGGGCAGGAGAGATGGGCCAGGGTCAGGGACCCCAGTCTGGAACCCTGGGGTGTGGGGGACCTACCATCTTCCTGCCAATGTACTCCCAGCCGGGTCGCACAGACTCCCGGAAGGCCTTCCTGTGGGCCCCATCTGAGAACAGAGTGTGGCCTCAGGGGGAGGGGCCCCTTCACACACAGACACCCATGTCCGCCTCTATAGCAAGGCAGACCCCACCCTGGGGGGAGGGGACAGGGTCTGGGTCTCTCTCTGCCTCTGCTGTTCTCTGGGTCTCACTGTGTGTCTGGGGCCAAGTCTCTGAGTGTCCGAGGCTCTGGCTCTGGCTCTGTCCAGGTCTCTGTGCTTCTGCATTTGAGTCTCCCGGTAATTGCATCTGGCTCAGCCTACTTCTCAGGGCCCAGGGACTACCTTGGCTCTGGAGGCTTTAAGTTTCTGGCCTTGCTGGATGGAGCCCTGAGATCCCCCAGGGTAAGAAGGTTCCCACCCTGCTGCCCTGGGGCCCAGCTGTTACCTTGTGAAGCCTCCAGGAGGCCCCGGCCAGCATAGGCTAGGGCCCCGCTCAGTACCAGGGAGTACAGGCCCAGCTCCACCGTGGGCAACGCTGTCTTGATGCCCATAGCCTGGATGGGGCTGAGGGAGACAGATAGGGGGAGGGTACTGCTACCCCTAAGCCCTGCCTAGTCCAGTTCATGGTCCCCCACTGAGGTGGTGGGGACCTCGTCCTGAAGAGAGACTGCCCCTCCTGCCCCCTGGGGACCTCATGCCATCATTCTCCCCTCCCATCCCCAGTGCCTTCCAGGCCCCTACCAACCATCTGGTGTCCCATCCAAGCTGCTCCTGCCCTTCCCATTGATGGCTCCTGAAAGCGTCATCTTACTCTCAGCCTACCTTCCTCACCTTCATTTACTTCTACATACTTTTCAGGTGAGCCAGTCCCCAACCTCTGCTCAAACTGCTCCTCCAAGGCCTCTGATAACTTTCACATGGTGAAACCCCTTCTGCATTACCTCAATCATATTTCTGGCCCCCAGGGTCTTTACTCCCCTCAGTAAGTCTCCCTCAACTCCTGACAAAGCCCCACCCCTCTGGGCCCCTTCTTGTTTCCCATACCTCTCCTGATCTGCCTTTACTTCCCAGGACATCCCCAGGTCCTGCCCCAGCACCAAGCCTCCATCCCTCTCATTCAGGCTGTAGCTTCTCCCTCCCCCTCATTGCCCCAACCAGCCCCTGAGCCCCAGCCTGCCACGTCCCTTGTTCCTGCCTGTGTCCGTGGCCACACCGGCCCGCTCTCTCAGTGCTCTGTGTCTTCAGGCCCTGGCTGCTGGCTGGAGGCTGTGCTATTTGAAGAGGTGCCCTGGGGTATTGGGTGTGCGGCCAGGCTGGGTCAGGCAGACACCAGGGAGTGTGCTGGCCGCTGTCCAAGGTGCTGACCGGTATTGGGCTCAGGATGAGCCTGGCCACTCCCTCCTGCCAGGGCCTAGCCCATTCCCAGGAGTCCTGCTGGGCTATCCCTGGGACCTCAGCTAGCACCTATGCCCTCTCTACCCTTCTCCGGCCTGATCCGGGGCCTTTCCAAGGGCCCCATGCATTACAGACTCAGGGTCCAATTTAAAGGGAGGAACATGTCTAGGCATCTTCTTGGGCTGGGCTGAGCCAAGAGGTGGCTGTCATGGCCCTGTCTCCGGCCCCACCCAAATCTCCCTCACCAATTATGAAACCAGCTCTCCTAGGCCCCCACAGTTGGCATTTTCCCCATTACACAGATGGAGGAGTTATGAACCAGAGAGGGGCAGGGACCTGTCAAGGTCACACAGCGGACCTGAGACAGGATTGAGTGTTCTCAGTGACCACCCCTACTCCCACCAGAATCTCAGATTGGAGAAGACCATCCACTGCCCCTGCCTCTGCCCCTACCAGGGAGCTTCCGGACCTGACTTGTGCACTGCTGGCCTGAGGGCTGAAGCACCTCCTCATGGGCTGGGTGCGGGTAGGGAGGCCCTGAGGATCGGGTTAATGGAGCAGAAGCTTGAAACCGGAGCACGGTGAAGAGCCCGCGAAATAGCTTTGTCAGCTGCCTCCCACTCACCACTTTCCAATTTTAGCTCCCCATGGCCGGTGCCGGGTGTCCCCAGTGAGGCCTCTGTGAGCAGGGCCAGGGCTGGCCCCTGGCCTGAGACCTCTCCTGATAGACCCCCAGACCTGGGCCAGTCTGTGGACATAGGAGTGCCCCCTGCCCCCTGTCCACCTCAGGTACACCTAGGGCAAAGCCCACTTTGGAGCCTGAGGTCTGGATGAGAGGCTTGGGGTGAGCTCCACGGGTCTCAAGGACCCCAGAGTGGCTCCATCTTTGGCTAGCACTGACCTTGAGGAGGCTGTGAGGGACCCTGGCACACTGCCCACCTTGGGCTCCGGGGTCCTGTGTCCGACTGCGCAACCGTCCGACCAGCTGGGCTCTGGGACCACGGTGAGGCGTGTCCAGCCCCGGGGTCCCCACCCCCTCGAGGCTATGATCGGTGAGTGGTGACAGCAGGAGGAGCCGGGGAGGAGGAGGGCAGGGAGGAGGTGGCCTTCCTGGAGCGGAGCTGAGCAGAGTGGAGCAGAGCCGAGTGCTGCAGAGCTGCTGGCCACAGGGAGCCGCAGGGAGGATCGTTGGGGGGAGGGGGGAAGGGGTGGCCAGTGGCATAGGCTCTGACAGGGACACCTGGACCTCACTTCAGCCTGCTTCCTCTGGGCTGTAGAGCCTGCATCTCCCTCTCTCTGCTGGCCAGGACTCCCCTCTTCCAGGAAGACTTCCAGGTGGCTCCTGTTGGCCTCTCCAGGCTTGTGAGCCCTTGCCCTTGCCACGCACACATGCACATACACACACTCTCTCTTTCACACCTGGCTCCATGAATTCCAGGACACACCTGTACATGTGAATTCCCAAGGGCTGTCCCAGGGCACACCCACCTAGCCCCCTGCTCTGGTCTGTTTCATCATGCTGAGAGTCTTGGTGGCCAGGCATAAATGCCTGGGATAGGACTGACTTGCCTAGTGGGATTGGGACTGGCATGAGACTTGTGGGCTCCATACTCCAGCCCTGTCCCATACAGAGCTGCCCAGGTGGAGCACGGTCACTTGAGAGGTTCCTTGGAGTGGCTGGCATCCTCTTGATGACAGGGTGGAGGCAGGCAGCAATGTCTCTAATCAGTTGGGACTCCTCTCGGGGAGAGGGGTAGGGGACAGGACCCTCACTTTGGGAAGGGGCAGCCAAGGCCTCAGGCCAGGTGGCTCCTGTTGGCCTCTCCTGATGCAGAGGGGTATCCTGAAGGCCACCCCACTGTGGCCCCAGAGACCAGCTGGTTGGATGCATGGTTGGACACAGGACCACAGAGCCCCCAGGTGGGCAGTGTGCTAGGGCCCCTCACAGTTTCCTGAAGGCCAGTGCCAGCTAGGGTTGTAGCTATCCTGGGATCCTTCGGGATGAGGATGTCAGAGTCGGTGAGGGCCTGTTCATGCATGTGCATGCGGGGCACTGTCTGGGGTTTGGGAGGGTAGAAGGGTTGTGTGACTGTAATCAGTCACAGGAGGTCCTGGAGCCGCTGTGGATCCTTTGACCCCAGTTACACCCTCAGCTGAGACTCAGAGAGGAGGGAGTGCTCCCCTCACCCCCTCCCTGCAGGGGCACTTCCAGGGCCTGAGCAAGGTCTGAGAGGGAGAGTCCCCTGCTTTCCCACAATGCCTTTAGGCAACGAGCTTCCTCCCAAGCATGCAGACACGCTGGCCCACAGGAAGAAGCCAGGAGACCCCAGCACAGTCCCCACAGAGTGACAGAGGCCTGTCAGGCTGGTCCCTGACTCTGAGGAGCATGCATGGTGATCACTGTGCTGTAGGGGCTGGGTAGGGGCTGCAGTCACAGATCATGGGTGCTAGAGGAGGCCAGGGTCAGGGAGGGGTACCTGAGCCAGACTGTGGGGATTAGGGAGGGCTTCCTGGAGAAGAGGGGACACTTGAGCAGATTCCTGAGATAGAGTCAATAGTTGTTAGACAAGGAATAAGTTAACCACAGTAGCCAGGCATGGTTGTAAGGCTGTACATGGATTAACTCTTTTTAATATAACCACAACCCCTAGGGAAGGTGTCACTGCTACCATTTTCCCAAACTGATAGAAAAGGAAACTGACGCACTAAGAGGTTAAGTAGCTGGATCAGCCCCATAAGCTCCTGGAGCTGATTGCCCTGCAGAGACAAACATACAGCTCACCCACACCAGGGGCCAGCTGAGACCAGCCTGGGCCAGCCATCCAGCTGGTGCCCTTGTGAGGATGTAAGAGAATGGCTCCCGGAAGCAGACGGGTGGTCTGGCTCCACCATAAAGAGCTCAGGTTCAGCCAACTGACTTGACCTGAGCTCCGCCCCGCTGGTCATCCCCTTCTCCAAGCCTCAGATACTCATCTGTAAATGGGCACACTGCCGGCCCTGACTTCACTGGGTTCTTGCGGGGATTCAGCGACTCACTCTGATTTCAGGGCATGGCTCACTGAATTGCTCACAAAGAGAGGCTGTTAGAGGCTGCATGTAAGGCTCAAGGACTGGAGGAGACATGGAATGTGCCAAGGCAGCACCCGTGGAGAGGGGGTGGGTGGGCAGAGCTTTCCCTGTGGGGCTTGCGAGGGGAGGAGGTGGGGAGGAGAGGCTGGCTCTGGCTGGATGTGGGGGCCCAGAGCAGTCCCCTCGTGACAGGCCGCCCTGGCCTGAGCTCCTGGGAGCAGGGGAGGGCCCAGGGGCAATGGCGTGTGTATGAGGCTTGAATCAGCTTGAGCCAGACTACAGCCTCAACCAGTTCAGCCATGGTGCCCCAGGGGACCCACAGGGACAGCGGCCAAGCCACACCCATGGCTTAACCAGGTCTCACCTGTCAGTGTTGGAACCTGAGCGCTCAGGCCCGCTGCAGCTGCCTGGGATACGGACAGGGAGAGTCCTCACGTGAGGCCGCCCCACACCAGCCTCTTTGTGTCTTGCTCATCCACCCTCCAGGCACCTGTCTCCCATTCCCACCACCTTGTGGCCCTGGTCCAGGGCCTCAGTGTTCTCATCTGTGAAAGACAAGTCCAGCCCACCTGCTGCCCACCTGCCTGAGGGCTGGGGAGGTCATCCTCAGGGCCCCGGGGACATGTGGTGCTGCTCAGGAGGGACCACAGGCACTAACCAGGACCGAGCAGGTCGCCCCACTCCCTGCCTGGCCCACCTGAGTTAGACCCTTCAGGGCCCCAGTCCTTGGCCCCTTTGACAACCACTCTTTCCCTTAAAGGCTCTCCCTAGGCCTGCCCCTTTCAGTCTACCAACCCACATGGCAAGGAGGTTGGAAGGACAGCCCCCGCCCCACCCAGACCTGGGCAATGAGCCTGGAAGCTGCAGCAGGGAAGGCAGGAGGCTGAGGTGCTGCCTTCTGTCTCTACATCCCCTGACCATCACCCTCTGATTACACAAACTGTATCATGGCCCTCTCTTTCCCACACCTCTTTGACTGGACCAGCAGCTCCCTGAAAGCAGCACCAAGTCAGAGTCACTTCCGGGCCCCTCACAGGCCTGGAGAGGCTGGCATGCAGTTGGCATTCAATGAGTGCCTGATGGACAGCTGGCTGAGTGGACGGTGGCCTGGGAATCTTTCTCCCCAGCTGGCCTTGGGCTTCCAGGAGTTCAGGGACCATGTCTGCCTTGGGGCAGAGGAGCTGCTGGATGGTTATTTGTTGAACTAGTAAAGGCAATAGTGAGGGCTAACATTTATTGAGCACTTACTGTGTGCCGGCTGCTGCTCTAGCACTTGGCACCTTTTGATTCAGTGAGTCCTGAAGCGGGTTTCTGATGGGGGAATGGAGCAGACCTGGTCTAATTAAGCTGGGGTGCCGGTGGCAGGTGCCTGCAGACATGAGAGGGACCCCTGGCACACAGCTCCACAGCAGAGCTCTCCGGGCTGTAAATTGAAACCATTGGTTCAACTGATACCCACAGTTGGCTGAAGCAAGGACTGGATGCCCAGACTGACCTCTGCAAGATGCCCGCTAATCATTTTATCCAAAAACGTGCAAACAAGATTTACTATGCCTGACTGCAGTTTTCTCACCCCATCTCTCTTATATAAACCTTGCTTTTATTTTGGTGGAATGAAATCAATCTATCGATACATGTCCCTTGTACAGAAGTAAACAGTTAGCTAATAACCAGCTAAGTGTCTTTGAGTCATTCTCTGACACCTATAACGGCCCTTGAGGGAAGTCTCTATTATTGCCCTCATTTTACAGATGAGGACATGGAGGCTCACAAGGTTAAGTAACTTGCCCAAGGCCACAAAGATGGTGAGTAGAGAGAGATCTGTGCTGGGCACCCTTACCCATTCAGACCCCAGGACCTAAAGCCCTTTCCTCTCTCAGCCCAGCCCTGAGCCAGGAAGGGCAGCAAAACTACCCTTGAATGGTCAGGGTGTTGGTCACACCACCCTGTGCTTCCCTGAGGTGACCCCTGCCACTCTGATCATCCCTGAGAAGGACAGCCAGTCCTATGCCTGTATCCCCCTCCCCAGGGCTGCACTGAGGGCCAGTGCCTGCAGGAGAAGTGCTGGCCCCTTGGCCTGGCGATCTGTGTTTGGCTCACTTCTTGCTGTCACACAGTCCCCTCCAGGCACAGGCCCTCTCCCTCTCTCTGGCTCTGCCTGGCCATTGCCCTTTACGTGGGGTCAGAAAACCCTCTGTCCCAGGAAACCTTAGGACCCCCACCTCCAGAATTACTGCTTCATCCTGATGGCCTTCACAACACTAGCTGGAGGTCTCTAGACCTCTCACCCCATGCGGGGTGGGAGGCTCCCTGAGTGGGGGCTGGCGTGGAGTCCCTCCTCAGCCCCATCCCTGAGGAAGGTGGCTTCCCTAGGGGAGTGTTTTCATAGTACGTGCAAGGCACAAGTGACAGGTCTTCCTGAGTGGGAATGTGTGTCTACACCCACCCACACACGTGTGCTCACACGCCTGTGTAGAGGGGCCTGTGAGTGTGGACTCAGCACCGTGTGTACGCATATGCATGTACACAGACGGCTGCATGCTCCTGAGCCTAGCTATTTGTGTGGATCTGCGTCTTTTGTGTGTGCCTGTGTGTGCACTGGGGTTGGGGTAGGTGGCTGTGGGTGACCCTTTTTGGAGCCACCCCTCCCCGTGGCTGGGACTGCAGTCGAGAGGTGGTGACACTGAGGCAGTCACAGCAGGGCCTGGGGGCTCTCCTGCAGCAGCCCTCCCAGCTCATCCCTGTGCCGTGGTGAGGGAGGTATACTATGCCTTTGCCTGGACCCTCTGCCTCAAAATCCTCCTGCCCGAAATTCCGGGCCGACCCCACCTCTGCCCTCTGCCACCAGCACCCACCAACCGCAGCCTCTTGGAAGCAGAAGGAGGTGCCTCTTGGAAGCAGAAGGAGGTACCTCTTGTGGCAGAGCTGCCCAGCACTGGCGTAGGCACGCCCACCCTGGGTAATCCACTGAACTGGAGGACCCGGGCTTTCGGAGTCAAGCAGACCAGGGTTAAATATTAGCTCAGTGTCTTTCTGTGAGCCTCAGTTTCTCCATCTGTAAAACAGGGTGATAACTCCCTAGGTTACTAAAGGCCTAGATCGGGTCAGGTTTACACAGAAGATGCCCACTCACTGGGAGCTGCAGTGATTATGAAAATCATCGTTATTATTATAAGACCCTGGTTCTGCATCTAAGGAAAAGCCCTGAGGGGTGGGCCAAAAGGTGGCTGGGAGTGTGGTACCCCCAAGGCTGTGGTAGGTGGGGATGGCCACAGATGGAGCCATGGAGGGAGAAGGGGGTGTGAGGATGCTCTGGTAAGGAAGGGAGGGTGGGGCTGGGTGGCCTAGGGGATGCTCCCAGCCCAGAGCCCTCTGGGCTCTCCAGCAAGGGTGGAGTCCTGTGGGCATGCAGGGTCCCCTGCTAGGCCTTCGGACAAGGGCAATGAGCACCTGCCCATGGGACTGCGTCTGTCTGTTCACAGTTGGCTTCTCATCCCGGCGCTCTCGCAGGTGCTGACAGGCTGTGGAGTCTCCTTCCCTGCAGTGGCCAAGCCTGCTCAGGGCTTCTCCTTTGCCCTCCTGCCGTGGAAGTTTGGCTTTGGTTGCTCTTCAGAGCCTCTTCTGGGAGAAGGGGCCCAGCTGGCTGCCCCAGGTTGGCTTCCAGGAACAGATGGAGTCTTCAGACAAAGCCTCGTCCTCTCAAGGCCTGAGGCTGCGCCATCCAGCCAGGCTGACGCTGAGCTGCCATCCTAGTGTTTGTCTGCCTTCTGCTGCCGCAGGGCCTGCAGGAAGATCCCTTTCACTTGGCCCAGGGTCTCATGGTACATACGGAAGTCCTCCTCCTTTCCCCGCAGGGCACTGCCCAGGGCAGCCTTCAGCATCTCATTCTCCTCCACCTGGATGGCCAGCCTGGACCACATGGAGAAAGGGTTCAGTGCGGCCAAGCTGGTGCGTGTGTGTGTGCGCACGTGCGCGCACACACCCACACCCACACCCATACACACATGTGCAAAGGGCCCTGGGAATGGGGCTGCCAGCATGTCTGCTCTTCAGGCTCAGGGTTCTCTGACCCGTCCCCTCCTCCTGTGGACCCTTGGGGGAACACCATGTGGGATTCCTCTCCCGGCCCACAGCTACTGGGCCTGGCATATAGTAGCTTTGCAAAATGTTGGCTGCCTCAGAGATTGAGAACTAATTTGTAGAGGTTCCCCTTCCTGCCTTTTCTACCACTGCATTTGACCTTAAAAGATATAATTCAACAAGAAAAGTGGGTTCAGCAACCCATGTGTGACAAAACATCTCTTGGGACCATGTGGTCTTTAAGGTCATTGCTGGGTCTCTCTGCTTTCTGATGGCCAGTCACCGAATTGCAGGCCTAGAACCCAGGATCCAGCAGGACCAGCCTTCTGGGCAAATAGAAGTCAAAGTAGGGGTGATGTGATCCCCCTGCCCCCGAAGCACCTCCACCCAGACAATGCCACCCTTTCAGGAAGACGGGGTGGGAGCACCTGGTGGTCACCTCTTCCATCTGGGATTCCACGGGCACACTGGAGAACGGGGCGGAGAATGGGTCCTTCCTCTCACTCTCATTCGGGTTGTGCCTGATGTTAGAGGCAGGCAGACCTGCGGGGCAGCAGCAGCCACTTTCTGTGATGAGGCTTCCTTCTCCAGCCCCCACTTGCCCACTTCCTGCTTCTCCACTTGTTGAAACATTTTACCTCCTTCAAGGTGCAGGACAAGGGCTGCCTCCCTCCAGGCCCTGGCTGCCTCCTTTGTAGCAAGGTGGTTATTCTTGTCACTGCCTCCATCTTTGCACTTTACCAGTCTCTGGAAAGCAGCCGGGCCTGAGGCTAAGTCTGAGTCTAGGCTGTCACTGCATCTGATGCCCTCTTATCGCTGGTCCCCAATCTCTGGTCCCCATACATACATACAGGGGATCCAGGGTGGCTGGGGCCAGGGGATGCAATATGCTCAGAAAAAGAAATCAAAGCCCAGCTGGGGGGGAACTTGAGCATGATCACAGTATCAGAAAGTCTCTGTGCTGAACAAGCCCTCAGGGCCGGCGTGGAGCCCGGGAAATCCCCTGGCATCAGCAGACCCGGGTTTCACCCCTGCTGTGCGGCCCCAACCTCTCTGAGCTGGTTTCCTCACCTACAACATGAAGATAGTAGTTCTTGCCTCTAGACCTCTGTGAGGCCACAGTGAATTCACACTTGGCTCTCAAGGCCCTGTGTGATGGGAACACCTCCTCAACACCTCGTGACTCCCCTACCTCACCTCATATTCCTCTCCCCTCCTGTTGGCTTGCTTCGCTCCAGTCTCACTACCTCCAAGCCTCCAGCCAGGCTCCCTCTCCGGTGCCTTGGCACTCGCTCTTTCCTCAGGTGTCTACGCCACATCCCGCCCCCTTCCACCGTCTCTGCTCAGATGTCAACTCATCAGTGAGGCTGCAGCCGGCCCCCCACAGAACACGGCTGCTCTCAGCACCACCTCTCCCTTCCCCTGCTGCCAGCCACGGCGCCCGCCTCCATCTGACCCATCATGTCTTTTACTGGTTTGTTTATTGTTATCTTCCCCACTGGCGTAGGACTGGCACGAGGGCCTGAATTCCACAATCAGGCTCCCTGCTTCACAGATGGAGGGGTGTGCTCTGCTCCCAGAGGGCTGGTGCTCTTCCCCATCACGGGCCGCGTGGACACTTTCTCTCAGGCAGTTCCCCGTCTCCCCCTCACTATCCAGGCAGGACCAAGGTGGTTCTTCCTGCTGTGGCTTAGCCCTCCCTACTTGGGAGCCTGGCTGCTTGGCAGGAGGTGAGTCCAGGGCCTGGAGACACCACATTCCTAAGGTACCTATTCCAGAAGCTCAGAAGGGGCAGTAGGGCTAAGCCCCAGGGCCGGCTGGTGGGAGGAGGACACCACTCCTGCTTTGCGCCCCACTTTCGGCAAGTCCTTCTGAAAAGTTCTGATCTTGTCTGGGCTGGGAAAAAAAATCTGAGGGTCCTTGGCTGGGGGAGGGGATGAGGGGAGTACTGGGGTGTCGAGAGGCAGGGAAGTGGGGGCAACACCACTACTCCAGAGCCTGGAGGGGTTGGGATGGGGATGTCAGAGACCGCAGGCCTATCGCCTCCACAATGAAGATTGTTCCTCCACAGAAATGGCTTCCGGCTCTGACCTCCCGCACCCCTACCTGCCTCAGCCCTACAGGTGCTGCCACTGCTGGTCTGGAAACTGTATCTTGAGAACCACTGAGCAGTAGACCTGTCAGTTTAGGACAGATAAACTGCCCTCTGCAGCTGGTGTGATTACGTGACTAGGATCTGGCCAACGGGATGAAAGCAGACGTGACACAAGCCACCTTAGGGTCCTGCCCTTGAAAGGTCAGGAGCAGCTGTCCCCTTCTCTTCTCCTCGTCCTGCTGCTACTGGGGAAGCAGATGCAGCCACCTTAGACCATGAGGGGGAAGCTGTGTATTGAAGACATAAGGTGGAGGGGTGGGGTCCCCAAGCCTGCAGGGAGGCCGCTGTGTCCCTGCTTCCACTCCACTGCCATTCCTCTCCTGGTCAGCCACGGCTGCTCCAGCCTCTCCAGCAGGACCGACTTTGAACACGGTCAGCTCAGCAGGGTTGAGGCTGCGGAGGGGGTGGCAGTAGGGGTGGTGGCTGAGGGCATCCAGCAGAGGCACTGCCACCTTCTGTGAAGGGGATCTGGGCCAGGGCCACATGGGCTGATGGTGCTCTGGCGCTCCCGGTTCTGACTGCGGGGCTGGGGGGGAAGAGGACACACGGCAGCAGGGCAGGCAGGGCTCCAGCCTGGTGGAGGGGCTGAGCGCTGCTGCTGGCTGGCTCTGCTCCCGGTCCAGCCCTACCTGTTTTGCTCCTGGGGGCTGCTCTCTGAGAGGCCGACGTCCTCCCGGGCTCCAGGCACATCTTCTCTAGGTGTTGCTCCAGCACCACGGTGCGGTGCCGCTCCTCCTGCAGCTTCCTCTCCGACGCCAGCAGCTTGCGGTTGCTCTCCTCCACCCTGGTGATGAGAGGGGAGGGGCCGCTGGACTCCCTGGGCCTCCACGTGCTCGGGCTCTCAGAGAAGTGGGCGCATCTTACACTGGTGGTGGTGGGACTCATTCCTCCTTATTTGTGTTGCAGTGACATAGGGACGTGCATTTAAAACCCATGTAGTTCTCTCCAAGGCTTAAAACGAAAAATTCAGCAGCCACACCCCACCCCACCCCTCCTCACTCCCAGCTTCTGGTATCTAGAAGCAACCACTTATACCACTTTTAGCTGTTTCCGCCACTTTTTACTGCCCTATTTCTACAGAGGCTTATGCTGCTATTTTTTAAGGTTTAAATACAATCTTTTGAATTCCCATCATGCAACATGAGAATTTTATTTTAGTATGCTCCCCTTACCAAACAGGAATCACCTGTCCACCTCCCAATTTAGTTATATTGCCATTTTCTGGCTGAATTAACATTAGGTGGCATATTAGTTTTCTGTTGCTGCTATCAACAAATTACCACATACACAGCAGGTTGAAACAACCCAAATTTCTCATCCCACGATCCTACAAGTCGAAAGTTCCCCAAGTCTGCTGGTTTCTCTTCTCCTGGTTTCACAAGCCAAAATCAAGGTGTTGGCTGACCTCGGCTCTTACCTGGAGTTTCTGGGGAATTGGCTTCCAGGCTCACTCAGGTTGTGGGAAGAATCCAGTTCCAATTGAAGGACTGAGATCCCTGCTTCCTGTTGGTTGTTGGCTGGGTGATTTTCATGTTTTAGAGGCTACTCGGCCCCCTCCATCTTCAAAGCCAGCCAGATACCCTTTTCATGCTTTGACTCTCTCTGTTCTTCTGTAGCATCTCTTTGACCCCAGCTGGAGAAATTTCTCTGCTTTTTGAGGGCTCAAGTGATTAGATTGGGCCCACTTGGTAATCCAGGATAATCTTCCTATTTTCAGGGTCTATAATGATTATTACATCTGCAAAGTCCCTTTTGCCATATAGCATAAAGTATTCACAGGCATGAGAGCAGGGATTGAAGGGCACGGGGGACGACCTCCTGTCCACCACAGGGGGGTTACATCAGGACAGTTACTCAGACAGGCTGTATACTGATGATTACATTTTCTTTCTTATTTGTTTCCTTTTCTTAGAGTGAGTGATTGCCTTCTGTCTGTTGTTATTTATTATTATTATTATTTTCTATATGCCTGTCATGAATTCATGGGCCTTGAAGACCTGGTGGTTTGGTTATTTCACTGAAGGATTGGATGTAATTTCACTGAGGCTGGGGCTAAAGTCCTTCTTGTGGTTAGGTACGGCATTTCAGACTTTGGTGACACTAAAGGCTCAGCTAGAAGACCAGGACTCCCTGAGATTTAACCCCAGCGAAGTGTTATACACACACATACACACAGGCAAATCGGAGTGGGAGCCTGCAAATGTACGCACGGTGCTGGAGGAAGTGTTCTTCCCACCTTGGTGACGAGCCAAGAAGGAACCGGATGGTAACAATTTTAACAGAATACAACCAGCAACACAAAACTGTATGCCAACACAGTATACAGCTCCTAACACGACCTGTTCAAGCATGTTCCTTGAAGCTTAATTTGCAAAAGACTAAAAACAACCTAAAGGTCCATCAGCAGGGGAAGGACCCAGTGAGTGGTGCCCTGTTCGTAGAATGGAATATGGTGGATCATGATGGAGGTGGGCTGCTCAATACAGTGACTGCAGCCTCAGGTCAACATGTAGCTATTCAAATAAAAAGTTGTGAAAATTAAGTACAATTTATAGTTCAGTTTCATGGCCACACTGGCCACATTGCAGGTGCTCAAAAGCCACATGTGGCTAATGGCCACTGGACTGGACAGCACAGACGTAGAACCTCACCATCATTACAGAAAGTTCTGCTGGACAGCAGTCTCTACCAATGAAAAAGAATGAGGTAGAGCTATTTGCACCCACACGGAGAGATCTCCAAGCCATGGGGTTGGTGAGAAAAGCAAGTGCCATGAGAATACATAGACCAGAATGACACTTATGTAAATAAATGGTAGATAAATCTTAGTGGATTAACACAATAAAATGCTCTGTGACCATAAAAAGAATATGAACTGACATGAGAATGCATAAGACATGATCTCATTTAAAAACTTATAACAAATGAAAATTTTAAAAACAAATAAATACTAACCCTAATGTAACTGAGCTGATGAACTCAAAATAGAGGACTCTGCTGCAATTATTCACTAGTTATCTGTGGGAGAGGGGCTTTTATTTTTCTGTAACATTTCAGGAATGTTTGCATTTCATTTACATTTGTATTCCATTTGTCACTGGGGAAGGAATCAGAGAAACTAGCAGCAAACACTATGTAAGATGCTAAAGCACTTTATGAATTCTGACAAAACTGAGGAACAAGCAAACCCTTGATTTCTCTCCTTCTCCCCCAAATCTGATTTCCCCATCGTGGTAAATGTCACCATCACTCACGCAGTTGCTTGGCCAAAAAAACCTGGGAGACACTATCGTCTTCTCTCTTTTCCTCGTGGCTTTCAGCTCCCAATTCATCAGGAGGCCCTGCAGCTTTTCCTCTAAACAAGCACAACACTAAAGCCAGCTCCTTCCCTCTCCTCCACCTGTGGCCTTCCCCCGGGGCCACTCCTCTGCCTGCTGCTACCGATTTCTGTTTCTATTCAAAACCTCTAGACCCACTGGTATTCTGACTATTCTCTTTTGGCCAAGTCTTCATTTCCATCCATTTTTTTTTTCTCCTTCAGTCTTTAACAGGGCTAATTCAGTTTGCTAGATCTCCCTTGCCAGTCAATGGCTCTGAGTGTGACTCTGACAGCTTTAGGTGCATCAACCTCATGAAATTCCAAATATTTTTAAAGATGTGCCTTTTTATTTCGTAACGGATTTTCATTTTATTTCAAGAGTCTGACCAAACGGACCCAATGGCAGTGTGAAGTGAAGAATATTAAATAGTTAAGTCATTGATGAATTTTTTTAAACTTTTTTAAAAATGGAGGTACTGGGGATTGAACCCAAGACCTCGTGCATGCTAAGCATGTGCTATACACCCTCCATCCCATCACCACCCCCGCATTGGTGAATATTTTGATGTAAAAAATTTTTGTTTTACATGAGGACCATAACTATTGGGATGCTGATAAAAAAATACTCAGATAAGGAGGTCGCCCTACCCAGGAATTAATTTAATACAAATGATACAAGATCTTTATGAAGACGAACACACATAATATTATATATTATATTCATAATGTTAAATATGTAATTTGTAAAAAGCCCTTTACAGATGTAAAGAAAAAAATAAACAACTCTCTAAAAATGTAGTATGAATAGGTAGTTAACAGAAAAGAACATTTAAAAGGTTCTAAACATGTGAAAAATATGCTCATCCCCATTTTTGGTTACAGCAAAGCAGATAAAAACAACAGTGAGTATTAGTGTTATTAGTCTGATTCATTTTAAAAGGGCAATTTGCCATTATTTGTGAGCATTTTTAATGTGCATATTCTTTGATTCAGCAGTTTTTTTTAGAAATGTATGGTATCAGTATAATCACACAAAAATGTAAAGATGTGTTTAGTGTGGGTCCACCTTTGAATAATATATGTATGTGCATAATATATATGCATATATATTTTTAGATGTGCAAAGAAAACATTTTGGAAGTTATAATGGTTCTTTTCTGTGGGAACAGGGAACTGGAGGTTGGAAAAATTTTTTTTTTGTAATCAGTATGTATACACTTGTATTAGAAAAACTAATAAAATGTCCAATAGAGTGAAGCAGGGGTTTTAATGCCAATGTGAAGGCAGAAGACACAAACGTGGGCCTGGATAAGGCAGCAAACTGCAAGTGAGTTCTCTGTATAGTTCTGGAAGCCTCAGAAGAGTGCTTTATTTGTGGTGAGAGGACTGAGAGGATATCTATCCATAAGCCAGGGAAGTGGTACGGACGACTGTAGTTGACTAGGGCTTTAAGTGGGGGAGGGAAAGCACTGATCAAGAGGACACTGAAACACAAGGCCAGCACTCACATGGTCAGGAAATCCTAAACCAATAAATCAGCATAAGTACCAACCTAAGACCACTGAAACCCCAAAAGCCAACCTGAGACCACTGAAGCCCCAAAAGCACCACAGAAGCAAAAGCAGAACTATTCTGTAAGAGCACTTTCATAACCTAAGAGCTCCCACAAGGGGAAAACCCACTGAAGATAAGCTCACAAAAACCAACACAGAAATCCAAACCACACAGGGAAATGATTCACCATAAGGGGGAGTCGACAGGCATCACTTACGATCCAAAGTAATGAAGACGACTGAGTAACTTTAAAGGGACTAGGTGAGTTTAAAACTATTACAAAGACAAAGGCAATACATTTTAATAAAAGAATAAATGCTAGAAGAAAGAGAACAGGAGATTTACACAAAAGAATGGCTTGATGTGAAAAATTCAGTTATTAAGATGGGTTTCACGGCAGGTGAAGTGCAGTGGAAGAAATTTAATGAGTTGGAAGGTAGATGTGAAGAAACTACCCAGTCATCAGCCCCAAATATTAAGGTATGAGAGTTGTGGAGGAAAGAATAAGAAAGTCTAACACATGTTGAGTGAAATTTGAGGTGAAAAAGAACAGGAACAGTGGGGGAAAAGCAGTATATAGACTGGAGTCCTTGGACTGAAAAAGCACACTAATTCCTAAACAGGAAAAATAAAATGAAATGAAATACTCAGACACATTAGAGTGAAGCTGCAAAATAATAAAGACAAAGAGAATATCTGAAAAAGCATCCAGAGAGAAAGGACATGTCTTTAA